TTGTTTGATTGTTTTATTACAATTAGGTGGGAATTTAAGATACTTGTATACATGAATATGGCAAATCACTTTATTATGAAACCGTATTTTTTTTACTATATAAAACTTTGGTTGAAAATGTAGTAAAAAGTTTTTAAACACTTTTTTATTGTGTTATTTTCATTCCATTGACAAATAAATATTTACCCAAAGTAAACATACCTATCTATCAGTAATACATTCAGCAATATTACCTCAATTCAATTAGTTTATTCTGTAAGCCTTACGACTTATACGATACAAAACACAATATTAATACATATTAACAGGTTAAACAGAGTAATGATGTACCGGTGATAATTGTATGTAATATCATATAAACACACGCACAAGAATGTGATAATACCATAATGACTGAGAGCGTTCTTAAAAGCACATCTTATTTATTTACCAAGATTACACAAATCTTTAACATTATTAACACTGAGCAATTGAACAAGTTTAAATACACTGGGACGACTAAAATAATATGGCTTCAGGTATCTCACCCGTAAATCTACATAAATAGGACACTTAAGGATGAAGTGAAACTCATCCTCAATATCATGAGTATCACATAATGTACAAACTCTATTGGACATAGCTAAATAATTGTATCTTCCGCTTTCAATATTGAACTTATGAGAGCTTAAACGAATACATGAAATACTGTTCTTATACAACAGATTAATAGTTTTTTTCAGGTAGTTTTGCAGACCAAAATTATCTACTAAATGTTGATACAATGTTCCTTTTGGGGAATTTTGTATTTTAGACAAAATTTCTTGTACATGTATGTCATAAAATATACAATCTAACTTTCATAGCAATTATTCTATAAATACCCTAAACCTAACTAATTCAAATCTGATTGTATATTTATAATCCAATCATCATTATCTGATATTCTCTGTTCATAACATACTTTCAATATACAATTTTCTGGTTCTTTCACTTTAACCCAGTATTTCAATATTTTTTATTTCCCGAACAATATACATTGGAAGTCTACCTAATATACAAGGTCATTACATGTATTTTTACCCACACCTAGTGTTTTTTTACAGAAATATGTATGAACCTTTTCAACTTCTAAAGCTCTGTGTAAACCCCATACTTCACTTGCATACCCCAATACACTGCTTACATAAGTGTCGAATACAGAACATAATGTTTCAGTATTAAATTTATGGTTCTTTAATTTGCTTGATAATGCAAAATAGGCCTTTCTTTCCTTTTCTGCTGCATGTTGCTGAGTTTTATTGAATTTTCCGTTAAAATTAAAAAGCATACCTAGAAAATTGAATTCATGAACAACTTCTACTTCGCTATTGTCATAAACTATCTTTCTTCCTGTTTTACAATACCACCATTACTGAAAACGACTATTTTAGTTTTATCTCTATTAAGAGTAAGCTTCCACTCATTATTATCCAAACATAAAGCATCTAACATAGATTGTAGAGCATGCGGTGTTTCTGCAATAAGAACTGTGTCGTCTGCGTACATAAGTAAAGATAAGGATATCATACCAATTTCAACTGGTTGACAATTTGCTCTTATAAAATTCATTACAGTCATTGACAAATAAACTATAAAATTGGTGAGAGAACTTCTCCTTGGAAGAGACCGACTCTGCTCGAAAAATATTCTGAAATACGACAGTTGTTTTTAACACATGATTTAACATTTTCATATAGGGATTGTATAATCTTTAACAATTTACCTTAAACTCCATGTTTAATGAGTTTACACCACAACTTCCCTGTAACAACAAGGTCAAAAGCCTTTTTGTAATTAACATAGCAACAATACAACCTTTTTGTTTACTTAGAGATCTACTAATTAACGACTGAAGTACGAATATAGTATCTACAGTTGAGTGACCAGCTTTAAAACCAAATTGGACATCAGTAAAAATTGAATTTTCTTTGTCCCACTGTATAAGTCTTCTGTTTAAACCTGAAGTAAAAATGCAGCCACGTGACCACACTTTCGGAAAGAGACCCGATTCAAATATTCGTCTGAAAAGCTTCGTTATACAAGGGGTTAAAATGTCTTCACAATCTACGAAAAGTTCATTTAAAATAAATCTTCACTATAGATTTTATCTCTTTTAAAATTTCGAATTACATCTTCTGTAAAAGGTTTATCTAATTCTTCAAATAATGTTAAATCTATGTCATCATAAAAGTCGTATCATCAATATCACCAGTGTTACTACTAACACTTTTAAAATCTTCTAAAAATTCATTGACATTAATTTGTGGTTGCGATACACTATATTTACGCTTTGAAAAATATTTATAAAACTTCTTCGGATTTTTCTTTCTAAGAAACTCCACCATATCACCTTCTTGTCGTTTATATTGTCGTTTGAGTCTATATTCCAACTTTTTGTAGGCCTTTTTCACCTTTAAGAACAGCATGACTCTCACAGGATTTAGAAACATTAAAAATTAAACAATGCATTTTTATACTCATTATTTCTCGTTTTACATACTTCGGTAAACCACGGTTTGTCCTCTTTCTCCACCTTATGTTGATGGGGATAGTGCGATGTACATGTTTGATCACTGTATTGTCATACTTAGATGTTTTGCTACTACATGGTGGGTGTAGCTTGGATATGTTGCCGACTCGTAGTTATGTGAGGCCGATAGTATACGTCCATTTACATTCCTATATTTACCCATGTTACTATCATTTTCTTAATGAGATAAAATCAATTTTTATTTTATATTTTGTAGATGGAATGTTAGTTTGTTTATTTGACTAGTGATGTATTGTTTATGCCGATAAGTATGCACATCTGTAATATTAACAAAGTCTAAAGCTTTACAAATCATAAAACACTTTTTGTTCCGATTTCTTTTTCACAATTGGGATAAAATAAAACTATAAACTCACACATTTTTGTTTTTATTATGACGTGAAAACACGAGATCTGTTTTTTGATTGACCACATTTGATCTGTGTGCTCTATGGAAAAGCGAATAGCTCATGAACTTTCTGTGAGTTTCGTAATTAATTTGGCTGTATGGAATGATTTAGATGTCAACATATGCTTCACTTTAGAGAAGGGGTTAAAAATATCCTTTTATAAGTGATTCATGAATTATGATAGGCAGCAGTATATGTGTTGAATATGTACAAGATTGATGAAACGATTCTAAATTCGTTTTTGGTTTAAAGTTCCGAGTATAAAAGAAAACTTCAGAATGACTTATTTCAAACTTCCAAACTGTGAAATAAATACAACAGTTGTGACGAACATGTTTGGTATCTTAACAGGACTGTGATAAGGAGTATGGAAGTGGTTAATATCATGACTTAGGACCTTTGTGACCTCTGACCGGGCAATAAATTACGTTATAATGCTGTGTGACGTCACTTATTTATTATTCATGTGTCGTTTTCTATTACTTCGAGCTAACAAATATCAGTTTCATCTGCTAAGAATTTTTAACCGAAAAGCGATTTGTGTTTTGTTTTTGACTGCATTACATCTATTTTTAATTCTAGAAAAAACTTCATGCCAAATAGCAGCGTCCCCTTGTACAAATATTAAAGGGTAAATAATCAAAACGATAATCGACAATGTCGCCGATGAACATATAATATTTTTCTTTTTCCAATGGGCCAGCATCGTTCTCCTATTATCAATCCCACAATTGAAACCTTTAAAGTGTTCTAAAATAAAACTACAGGCGAAATACCGATGTCTTTGACTCAAAGTATTTCAAAAGAACCTGTAAAAATATTTAAACATTTTTGACCCCTGTGACCTTTAATGTCCAATAAGGGCATTAAGTTGAACAGAAGATTTAAAGAATTGATAAGATGCGACGTTGAAGGTATGTCAAGGTTATTCCAATGAACAAATCTAAAAGCTCCTCATTCTTTTGAAGGTTTCAAACCTTTCCTCTCAGCATGCTAGTGGGAAAACGTCATCATCCTAGTCATTTTTTATTTAAGATAAGTCGTAAAACAAACTTGGTGAACCTTTAGCTCTGCATGCTTCTGGCCAAATTTCAACACTAGGCATTTTGGTTATTCAGAAGAGGTTGTTACAACGAAAGGTTTAAAACATATTTGACCAATGTGACCTTGAATATGGGTGAAGGTCATTCATTTGACCAAACTTGGAAGCCCCTCATGCCTGCTAAGCACTAGCCAAATATCATCATCCTGGGTTCCCTGGTTATTCAGAAGAAGTTGTTCATAGATTTAAACATATTTGACCTATGTGACTTGGAAAATTGGCGAAAGTCATTCATTTCAACAAACTTGGTAGCTCTTCATCCCAGGATGCTACTGGCTAAAATGCATCATTATAGGCCTCTTGATTATTCGGAGGAAGCTGTTCAAAGTAAAAAGCTAATGCCGGAAGGACGGACGGACGGACAGACGGACGGACGCTGCACCAAGGCAAAAGCTCACTTGGTCCTTTGCTAATAAAGAAAGTCTTGGTTTATGCTGCATATACAATTTGGTTATTCTATGACTTTGAAGTTGAGTATACAGCAGACACTGCCCCGTTCTTCAGGGTATCCCATATTGACCGCCTCGAACTACTGGAAATAGGTTGACTTATTACCATAAAATGAGTTATACTTGGAGTGAATATATTTGCTGGTCAGATAAGAAATAATTTAAAGCCAAACCTCAATATAATGCCCCTCTTTCTATTCGCTATATAGCTAACCGCCAGCATTTTAAGGTCCATTATATCTGGACAAGTTGTGGCAATATAACGAGATTTTACTATACGCGTTCTGTGTAAAGACGCTGAACCCACCAAAGATGTTTTGAATTAACGTCCATTGTACATGTGTCGTTAAGAATGTTTGTAAGTTGTGTTATCCCCGAGGACAGACGGGTTCAAAGGTGGAGTTATTGGTGTTATTGTTGTGTCAATGTTGTATTTTGAAAAAGACCTATAGACTCTCGTGATAAAAAGTTACACTAACAATAAACATGAAAAAGTATAAATGTTTATTTCACAAACAAAAAGTGTTATTGCGACATAAATGTGCAGAATTACAATTAGTGAAGGACTTGAAAACGCATGATTTTGACATTGAAAGCCGTGTACATTCAACAGAAAAGTGGTATTTGACAAAATGCATATAGATTTTAACTACAAATACTCATTTAAACATTTGGAACACACATCATCATACAAATGTATCAGGTTATATTTCAATACTAACTGCATTTTGATTTTTAAAACTAAACAAATAAAACGCTGTTTTTCTCAGATGGCCATTTTTCAGTTAACCCTGGTCCTTGCCCCGCTGTACTGTGGTTTTCGTACATAGAGTAACCTCCCCTTAATGTCACTTCGGATCAAAATGTAGCACAATCAGGTCAAGGTACTCAAGTGGCCAGAGAGCTCAATCCGTAAGACCAATAGTTAATAATCTGAAGTCCAGGGTTCACATTCCCGGTCTAGCACACCCAGAACCCTAACCCTAACCCAATCCGTAAGACCAAAAGTTAATTATCTGAAGTTCAGGGTTCACATTCCAGGCCTAGTACACCAAGAACCCTAACCCTAACCCTAACCAATAGTTAATAATCTGAAGTCCAGGGTTCACATTCCAGGTCTAGTACAGCCGAATATTTTCTCCCAGAACACTGTTGTTGATACTATTTTGTATTGTTTTTTTTTTTTTTATTTGTTCCTAAAAGTCCCGCAAAAGTTTTTTTTTTTTTCCAAATATGATTTATCAAAGCTAAAGTCAAGCCAGAACAAAACCATTCCTAACGTTAACTTACAGTTTTTGACAGTGGTACGGGGATCCCTAACATGTATCAACAATTTCAGTGGGAGTTGTGAGACGAGTTGTTTGTTGTGACTCGTCTAAAAAATCAGCTGAGCCTTTCGATTTCGTATCAACTTCGTAATATCCCTGTTTGGCTGCGGGTTTACAGCAAAGCGCTTTCCATTGTTTTCTCACCTGTGGATCGCGGGTAACAAACAAGATGAAAATGAAAAATCCCTGGAAGACATTACATAAGGTAAATATGTACTGAAAGGGGATACGTGCATCTTCAATGGCCAGGTATCCAAAGATCCAAGTGATACCTGAATATGTAAAAACGGAATATATTTTGTTTAATAAATAAACAAGAATTATTTAGAAAGTCAAGAGCAGGACGGGCATTGGAATGGAGTGTAGAGACAATGAGTGATAAGTAATGAGAATAAATTATCCCTAAACGATTTAGTTACAGCATGAAGCAAGGTTATTAAACAGCGCGTCAACTTTTCATACTTTTTAATCTTTGTAACTAGAAGGGGAACCATATTTCTCGTTTTTATTTACTCACAAAATTAAAGTTATATAAATAATATCATTTTTGCGAGAACTGTTTTTTTTGCATTTATTCTTCAATATGATAAGCATATTCTACAATTTTATATACTCACATAATCAAATTTTATATAAATATTATCATTTGTGCGAGTAACTGTTTTTACATTTATTCTTCAATTTGATTTGCATATTTTAATATTTTTATTTACTCATATAATTAAATTTTATGTAGATAATCTCATTTTTGCAAGAAACTGTTTTTACATTTATTCTTCAATTTGATTTGCATATCTTAATATTTTTATTTACTCATATGATTAAATTTTATGTAGATAATATCATTTTTGCGAGTTACTGTTTTTTTTGCATTTATTCTTAAATATGGTTAGCATATTCTACTATTCTTATTTATTTACATAATCAAATTTTATGTAGATAATCTCATTTTGCGAGTTACGTTTTTTTGCATTTATTCTTCAATATGATTTGCATATTCTACTATTTTTATTTACTCGCATAAGAAAATTTTATCAATATAATCTCATTCTTGCGAATAACTGTTTTTTCGGCATTCATTCTTCAACATGATTAGCATATTCTGCTATTTTTATTTACTCACGTAATCAAATTTTACGAAAATAATCTCATTTTTGCAAGTTACTGTTTATTTTACATTTATCCTTTAATATGATTAGCATATCCTACTATTTAGCAACTTGTTCCCGTAATATCAGTGGTTAGATTAGCACTTTCCCCCTCTAACTTTTCCTGGTTGTATTTTTTCCCATACACATACCACCATTATACTACTATTAGTCTAACCCAGGACAACAACACAACATAATTCAAAACTCTGTTCCACAAATAATAATTCAGGAAACGAATAAAAAGAATATTTCTCCGTAACAGTTGCATCTGGAATAAGAATATCAAACAGCTGAGTATATCGACTACCTGAGTATATCGACTACCTGATTATATCGACTACCTGAGTATATCGAACACCTGAGTATAACAAATCAAGCTGTGTAAGAGTAAATGACTGGGTCCAATCCTTCAAATCCTGATCATCTTCACAACATCTTAACGCAACAGTTTAAACTAGTATATTTAATTTCAAACTAGAAAATTTCAAAACTAATTAAAATCAAAGCTGTATGTATAAGTATTAAAAAGGACAATTTCCTTACAATAAACACATTTGTAGTATTTTAGCTAAATCTCAAAAATCATATTTTGAATATTTGTGATAACGGTTCGATAATCTGATCAAGCTTTGAACATCCGGGCTCTGATTTCTATTATTATGTTTAACCAACCAGTGCACATGTCGTGATTATGTGCTGTATCGATGGCTACAGTGATTATGTGTCATTATACATGTTAACTGTTCTATGTTAATTGCTACTATATATCTCGAAGGATGTTAGTTTGCTTTCAAACTAAGAGCTACCAACAGTCCACATCATTATAAACAAATACAAAACTGTGAGTCCCAACTTAAAGCAGTACAATGCTTGACTACTGTATGTAATAGCTGTGCAAACCCTTACCTCATTATATCGACCCCGTACATGTTTCAGGTAGTTTACCCTTAAGAGGACTTTGTTCATTGCAGTGTTTTAGTGTAAAGATTATATATACGCACATCACTTACAACATAGGAATTAACAGTGTGGATGGAGCCGTAAAGATGGCTTACTGCTTATAGCCAAACATAACACAATACTAGACGGTAGGTTTGGATTGGCTACGATATATAGCTACACACACCGACTAATAATGATTAGAAATAGCAGTATGTAGAGAACAGTAGCGAGGTCTAACTACAAACACTCTTAAACAACACTGGAAAAATGAGCATTATAAAATGGTATCAATATCGCTATACTTGCAAATAAAAAGTGAAGCAGGCGGTAATTATAATCAGACAAAAATATCACGTAACGATGACATTTCCGTGGAATATTCATATCGGGCGATTGCATTTATGTTCAGAATGCACACTATACACGACTCGAGACGCACACTATACACGACTCGAAACCCACTATCCACGACTCGAGACGCCCACTATACACGACTCGAAACACACTATACACGACGCGAGACGCACACTATACACGCCGCGAGACGCACCCTATACACGACGCGAGACGCACACTATACACGCCGCGAGACGCACCCTATACACGACGCGAGACGCACACTATACACGCCGCGAGACGCACCCTATACACGACGCGAGACGCACACTATACACGCCGCGAGACGCACACTATACACGACGCGAGACGCACACTATACACGCCGCGAGACGCACACTATACACGACGCGAGACGCACACTATACACGACTCGAAACCCACACTAAAAACGACTCGAGACGCACACTATACACGACTCGAACCACACTATACCCGACTCGAGACGCACACTATACCCGACTCGAAACACACTATACACGACTCGAGACCCACACTATACACGACTCGAAACACACTATACACGCCTCGAGACGCACACTATACACGCCTCGAGACGCACACTATACACGACGCGAGACACACACTATACACGACGCGAGACGCACACTATACACGCCGCGAGACGCACCCTATACACGACGCGAGACGCACACTATACACGCCGCGAGACGCACCCTATACACGACGCGAGACGCACACTATACACGCCGCGAGACGCACCCTATACACGACGCGAGACGCACACTATACACGCCGCGAGACGCACCCTATACACGACGCGAGACGCACACTATACACGCCGCGAGACGCACACTATACACGACTTGAAACACACACTAAACACGGCGCGAGACGCACACTATACATGACTCGAAACACACTTTACACGACTCGAGACGCACACTATACACGACCCGAGACGCACACTATACACGACTCGAAACACCCTATACACGACTCGAGACGCACACTATACACGAAGCGAGACGCACACTATACACGACGCGAGACGCACACTATACACGACTTGAAACACACACTAAACACGACTCGAGACGCACACTATACATGACTCGAAACACACTATACACGACTCGAGACGCACACTATACACGACGCGAGACGCATACTATACACGACGCGAGACGCACACTATACACGATGCGAAACGCACACTATACACGACTCGAGACGCACATTTTACACGGCTCGGGACATTTCACCTATTATTTGGGTGTGGCTTTGTTGAGGGGTAAATCTACTTATATATGCTGCTTGTATGAATATGGACATGCCTGCCTAATAATCAGCACCATAATCAAAGGTAAACTGGATAGGTCAACGTGTTAACTGGATAGGTCAATGTGTTAACTGGATAGGTCAATGTGTTAACTGGATATGTCAATGTGTTAACTGGATAGGTCAATTTGTTAACTGAATAGGTCAATGTGTTAACTGGATAGGTCAATGTGTTAACTGGATAGGTCAACGTGTTAACTGGATAGGTCAACGAGCTTACTGGATAGGTCAATGTGTTAACTGGATAGGTCAATGCGTTAACTGTTTAGGTCAATGTGTTAACTGTGGAGGCACGGTAGTCTAGTGGTAGGACGCCGGGCTCGTGACCGAATGGTTGCGTGTTCGAGTCACGGCACAGCACTATGTTGTATCTTTGAGCAAGATACTTCACTCCGCTTGTGCCAGTCTACTCAGCTGTAAATGAGTACGTGGTTAGGCAGTGCAAGAATTGTTGAATGCTAGCTGTTAGCCCCGAAATGGCAGCACCGGCTGTATACTCCCCAGGAAGTTGAGAAAGGTATTGGCTGGTTGCAAAGGCCCTATAACCACGGATAAATGTGCATTAACCGCTTTGAGACGACTACGAACTAGGTTGTGATAAAGCGTTACATAAGAACCTCGAATTATCATTTACTACTAATGTGTTAACTGGATAGGTCAATGTGTTAACTGGATAGGTCAATGTGATAACTGGATAGGATAATGTGGTCTGTCTACGTTGACGGTACCGAGGTATCACTACTTACTCATTCTCATAACACAGAGGTAAGTAGTATGTATGGAGTTTCACCGTTATCACAATACCCCTAATGTATTACTGTGCTGCTATACACATAGCATTAATACTAGCAATACGTGACTGTTTCTCTGTGATTAATCAAAGTTAATACTTAAAGATACACGGAATAGTGTTACGATCGCGATCGATTATATAATATTATGTATAGGATATTTGTAACATATAAAACAAGAATTCCACAGCAGTGGACGTTTGAGTTCAATCAACCAAAGAGAACTCAAGTAATCGCACGGAAACCTTGTTTCGGACGACGCAACCGACCACGACAAAGTAATACCTCGCGTTGCAGGCGACACATCAAGGGACATAACTCCACTTAAAATGCACGTAAACTACTGAAATGAGAACTCGTCTAAGCTATATAAGTATGCAATATGTGTTCCAAGAACTCAAGGAAACTGAAATTATCGCAAGGAAACTTTGTTCCAGACGACGCAACCGACGCAACGCCAAAAACGAAGTTCAGTGTTGCTATGTCAAGTGTGATACGCCAAAACGCGGCAAAATATAATTCGACAAAGCAAACCGTAATATATGTTAACAACGTTATTGCATTAACTAAACAATGCCCTTATTTAGCATTAAAAAGGACATAAATCCACGTAAACTTCTTAAATGAGAACTCGTCCGAACTATATTGGTATGCAATATGTATACAAAGTTTGAGTTCAATCAACTAAAG